ACTTTGAACCGACTTCGCGAGGGTCAAATATTGTCCAATTTTGCTCAGATTTTGACAGGAGGCCTTTTTCTTGAGGCATCACGGAATAAGACATGTACATTCGAAATTTTTTACCATGACTTTTTTCTGGGGTACCCTAAGCCCAGTCGTTCCGTAGACTATACATAGAGGGCTTAACTAGGTTCAGAGCGTGCCAAAGATCGAAGTGACAGCTTGCAGCTATATTCCGTTCATTGAGGTAAAGCGAAATCATCCATCCCAGACCAACATGTCATCCGTCTTCATAACTGGCTCCAACCGTGGGATAGGCTTGGAGATTGTAAAGCAGCTCCTTGCACATGCCAACCCTCCAGCAATCTTGTTCGCAACCTGCAGGAACCCAGACTCTGCCACAGTGAGTGAAAGAGGGAACTACTTAGATAATCATGTACATAATCTTCAGTTTGGGTTTTTAGATTTGTAATTGTTTCAGGAACTGCAAGCAATTGCGAAGAATCACTCAAATTTAAAAATTATTAAGTTTGGTACTAATTCCTGATTTCTATTTTATTTTATGTTGCAAAATTTATAATAATCACAAAATAATGTAGTTGTTTTATTTTGTTCCAGATGTCCTTGACTGTGAGAGCTATGAAGGCGTTTCCAATAAAGTTCGCGAAATTGTTGGTAATAAAGGTTTAAATGTCCTGATCAATAATGCTGGTGTCATGCTTGATAGAATAGACAAACTCTCGTCAGTCAATGCTCAGCACATGATTGACGTTTATCGCACCAATACAGTTGCTCCAATTCTTCTGATTAAGGTAATAATGTAAATGATTTAAAAGTTAAATTCCTTTTGAGTACTGCACCAAGAGAGACTAAGTGGAATTTAATTTGTTTGACAGGCATTACGACCTCTACTGAAACAAGCAGCCGAGGTCAATAAGTCCTCTCCAATGGGATGGTCACGTGCAGCCATAATAAACATTTCTTCGGGACTTGGTTCCGTGTCTAACAACGATTCCGTGTCTAACAGTACTTTTGGAGGAGTGTATGCGTATCGGGAAAGTAAGGTGTGTGTCAGGTAATTTCGGAAACATCAAAAAAGTTACTGTTTTCAATAAACAAATTTCTTTTTTCCGTTTTAGGCTGCGTTGAATATGGCAAGTCGTTCGATAGCTTTTGAACTTGGACCGGAGAATATCCTAGTGTTAAGTTTGCATCCAGGATGGGTTCAGACAGACATGGGGACAAGCGCTGCAGATCTCAAGACTGAAGATAGTGTGAGGAGCATGCTGAATGTGATGTATAATCTCAAACCTGCAAACCACGACACATTTGTTCAGTGGGAGGGCAAGACTCTGCCTTGGTAATATTACTGATTGTGCTTCTGTATTTATATCACTATCCCATTAATTGGAGATAAACCTTTACACTATTTTACGCCATTTATTTTTTTCCCTATGGGCAGGTGGTATTACACTTGGTGCCAGAGATTGCGGGAGAAGGGGGTGGGAGTGAGGTAAGCAGGCTAGAGAAAGAAAAAGAGGGAGACGAGAGGGGTGGGGGCGCTCCACGCCACGGCGCCAGGCGCCAGGTTTGAGCGGCGACACCCACCCGTCACTCAGAGCGGGGCGGCCAGGCCTGGGGGCAGGCCTGGGTGACAGAAGAGAAGGAGGGAGAAAGGGGGGGGGGGAGACGGGGCTTTCGGATTTCATCCCACGCAACCAATTTCCTGCTCTGGATCTCCAGCGTGTCATTAGATGGTACTCGGGCGGCCCCGACGACCCCAGCATCACGACGGCGGCGCGGTGTTGGCGGCGGCCTCGACGTACACGTACACCCCGCCCCGGCCAAGGCCCCGGTTGACGCCGCCGGCGCTTATGCTCGGGGACACCCACAAGAGAATAATAAATGATAACAACAATAAAATTACAATAAGCGCGAATAAATATTCACGCTTGTCCCGGACCTGACTAGACCGAGTGCGGCCTTGAGACTACCAGGAACCCAACCATCAGAGGGTACCGGGTCGGCGAGGAGGGGACGGCGGCGGCGGCGGCAGGGGACAGCTGGGGCACTATGGATGCAGATTAAGTAGGGCGGCGGGGGCATAAGGACAGCAGGCCGGCCCGGACCGGACCCTCCAAGACCTCCAGTCGCGGCGCTGGACTCCAGCCAGCTGGTTGGCGACCAGAACTACCCGACACGACGCGTATAATGCGGGTGCCATGGGCGAGTGCCATGGAGCCATAAGGGGGCACTGCAGCCAAATAAAAAGACATGGGAAAGACCCCCACCCCTACCCCCACCCCCACCTTGGGTAAAAGAAAATCACATCGGATATAAAATGGGGGCACCGGACACCATAGCGGTGGAAAATCTCGCGGGATTCCATGATGGGGTTTCTGGCCCGGGGTGAAAAGGGGGAACCTAACCATCGGGACCGTTACAATGCCCCAGGCTCCAGGCCAGGCAGTTAGAGATGAGCGAACAGGCCAGTTCCAATTTATGTGAACTCAACAAAATCAGACCAAAAATCTTCGAACCAAAAGCGAACAGGAACATCAATTTTTTTTTCCCGAAACTAACCACTCCGTTCACATTCGAGCGGACACGCAAATCTGTAAGAATTTGCGCCTTTGCTCAATGCCCCCCCCCCCCAAATCAAAAGATGCCACCACCCGTTTAAAAAAGATTTACCCCAAGAAGTTGCCGAAATCAGCCCGAAAGAGCCCCGGAGGCCACGGGCAGTCCCGCACTTTGTCCGCAGCCATGCCGGACTGTCCCAAATTCAGTCCGTCGCGTCTCCGGGTCACCCCGTGATCAGCCCGGCCCTGGGTGTCGGGGAAACCGAAATCGGCCCGGGGACCTCCCGGCGCCCGGGCAACCCCAGAATCTACCCCATGTGCCGGAAAACCCGGAAACAGCCCGGCTTAAGACCGTCGCGGACAGGTCGCTGGGTGTCTGAACATAATATGGACAGGAACATTTCACGTCAAGATTGATAAAACTTATATACTTCAATGTTAAAATAGCAAAATATCAGAGGCATTCTCTATCTTTAAACAAACAAACGAATTATTTGCACTATTTTGTACATGGCGCACGGGAGTTCAATCTGACTTATAAAATTTCGTATAAATTCATGTACGAAATCTTGGATTATTTTGCAAAAAACTGTACATAAGAATGCAAGATTTTTGCATGCCCAGCGGTATTAAACAAAGTCCAACGTCTTCATTTAATCGTTCAGGACACGTCATTTTTTTATGTTGAAGGTCGTTTGGCATATCCTTAACAGAGCCCAGTACATAAGCGAAGGCATTTCCCGAAAACCGCGTCGCGATGCGCCAATCGGTTCGCTGTGAAAGGCATCATTTCTGTAAAGACTGCGCATCTAGTTGAAGGACCCTTCCTGAGGCATCTCCTCTCAGCCGTCACCGTAGCTCAGTTGGAAAGAGCGTCAGACAAAAGAACAGAAACCCGTAGGGTAAGGGATCGAATACCGCTTGTTTCCCTTTTTTCGTGACCGTTGGGTCGGCTCGGGCATCCCCGAAAACAGTCCGAAGGTGCCTCCGGGCATACCCAGAAACTTTCGGTTTTTGTCACTTCTGGGGTGTGTTTCAGGGCTGCCCGCTAGGTACTTCGGACTAACCCGAAAAGTGCCCGCCCGTCCGGGCTGTTCCGGGGGCTGATCATTTTTAAACGGGCATGTAAACAATGTCTGGAAATTGAGTTATTTAGATTAAGTGTCGATATCCTAATATCACGAGGGGTAAATAACACATTGAAAACATTTACAAATATGGAGTTTCTATTTATTATTTCGATTAAAAATCATTGGGTGCGAAGTAAAGTGGGCGTCGTGGTGGCCGATCCTCACTTGCGTACGCGAGTCCGGCGCGGGGCAAGGGGCTGAATCGCCAATAATTCGTCCACGTTTTACTGCAGGCTGAAAACTTGTGGTAGCACGACGGTCTAGACACCCCAGACCAGACATAAAGTGGTTTCCGTTGGCAAGAAGAGCAAAACACGAAAAAAATCATACATTTTTTGGTGTCTCTTTTTCCCGGCGCCACCGAGGTGTCGTGTGTCATCAAGCACACGGCGATAGCGACGCGAGGCGACTTCAGTGTTTGCTCTGCGTACCACGATCGCTTGGCGCAAGGCGAACAATATACAACTGAGGCATTTGGGTAGGTCGTGTGGTATCGGGGTGATCTGGTGGTAGGTGGCCGGTGGCCCTCACCACGAACGGTCGGTCCTTGCTCCTACCCTTGCTCCTACCAGGCCTTATCGGGCCGCTCCAGCCGAAATAAATCAAAATATATTCTATCGCGCCCGACCCCAACCAACCAGACACGCCTCACCCCCCCTCCGCCACTCACACAGACTCGTGAACCGCGTGTTTGGACTGCAGTCGTAGGCGTAAAGGTGGTATGTGTGCAGCGCACACATGAGAACGCACGGACACCGCGCTCAAACACGCCGGGCCCAGCCAGGCCAGCCGGGAGGCGCAGGTGTGTTGACTGAACGGAAAAGTGTCCGTGGGGTCATGCTTAATGGCGCGGTGTATGCCCAACACACACTCACACACACTGTAAAAAATATTGTTGTAACTTAACAGCAAATTTGTTGTTAAGTTTCTCATCCCGCACGGCAAAAAGAGCTAAAAAAGTGACTGGCCAAAGTGTCTTAAAAGGGCAAAAAAAAGTACACAAAAAGTATGAAAAAAGTTTGCCTTCAGTGCCACCAAAGTGTTGCGGTTCCAATCTGCTATATTTTAAGTATACTTAATGTATACTTTTTACAAAAGTATAATCGAAAGTGTCATTTGCATATACTTATTTCCATGCGGATGACTCGTGTTGTTGTACAACAGCTTCGTTTGCCAAATAACAGCAAAAGAGTTGTCCAGTAAAGGTGGATTCAGAGTTCCCTAAAAGCGAGCGTGATTCTCACGCAAAGCGTGATTTTCACGCCCGGCGTGATGAAAGTCGGTCCCTGATTGGCTGCGTGAAGCTTACGAAGCGTGAAAATCACGCCTGGCGTGAAAATAACGCTTGCATTTTGTGAACTCTGAATCCACACTAACAGTACTACAAAAAAAGTCAGCAAAAACAAAATGGTGCCCAATAGTCCAATATCAACAATGCATTGACAGCCACCTTGGTAGTTGTTTTTCAGTAACTTCTGTTGTTCTCGAACAACTGAGCTGTTGGTCAACAAACTGAACTGTTTTTTAACAACCAATTTTTACAGTGCACACACACACACACACACACACACACACACAGAGGAACGCTTACACAGGCAAATTGGTGTACACGTTTTCAACCAAACCACATCATTCTACAACGAAAAAACAACTAAACCTAACGATATGCATTGAATACAATCTTAGTGAAACGGGAGCGAACAAAAAAGGAAATGAGGTTAGCACAATTTTGTTTGTCACCCGATCTGAGCTTTAGCCGAGTCTGATGGTGCCCTGTTTGGCGGTGACAAAAATAGTCACTTGCACTCCTATTACAGAGTATCCTTTCGTTACTCGCTATACGCGCTATATTTTTGTGTTACGGTTATGGTGCACCTCGTGCCAGTGCCGCTGGCGCGGGCGAGCGCGGGGACGGCAAGACCAACGGCTCTCCAGCAGCCGTGACGCAGGACCTCCCGCAGATTGGGGCTATTTTCGTCGAGGCGGGTGCGCTGCTCGAGGCATGGCGGGAGCGTGGCAGAGCGTGGCGTGGCGGAGCGCAGAACGCGATGGATCATGGTTTGCATTCCCGTTACTTTTCGCGTCGCGTTTCTCGGGAACCTCGGAGACCCACACCACCGCCCGCCCCAGCAGCAGCAGCGGCTCGGGGGCTCGCCGCCGTGCCGCGCTAGCGGTGGCAGGGATCTCGGCAGGACACCCCCTCCTTCCCCAGACCTGCCCTGCCCTGGCTGGGGTCCCAGCTTTCGGCTTTTATGCTTCCCCCCCTTTGCTTGGAGATGTAGCAGCCATGCGGGAAACTGGCTTTCAGCAGCTCGCGCTCGCCCCACGCCAACAGTACACTGTGCGGCGTGCGAGCTTTGCGACACGACGCCTGCGGTCCCCTTCTTTTTGTAGACTCTCTTGCTTTCGCCCTCCGCCCCGCCACGCCACAAACGACGCGGTGAGGATGAGGGCCAGAACCGAGTGGCGGGGCCGGGCGTGGGAGGGTCGCTCCCGGCCCCGGCGTGGCGCAGATCGCAGGGAGGTGATAAAGGAAAGGAGAGTGAATAGGACCGATAGGAGCTTGGTGTTGAAGGGCGAGGCCTCTGGCTGAGGACCTGGCGCGCGCGCTCCTTGGCGGGACGGCGGCGTGGTGTGGTGTGGTGCGCGGGAGCAGCGGAGAGGGCTCGACCCCC